CTTCTCGTCATGTCCGTAATAATTTAAAAGAAACATAAGACCTTTTTTCCCAACCCGCAGACAATTCCCGCCCTGTTCCCAGTGAATCATGACAGCAAATATAGCGGCTTACAAGGCAGCAGCGTCTACATTTGTGCTCATCTGTTATCCCTGCTCATACCTATAGATTTCCTCCCAGAGGGTGGTAGGAAAGTCACTTTTTCTGTCTCAAAGCTGTCCTTACAGGAGAGTTTAGTTGCGTCAAAATGACTTCCAGATGCGGAAACCCCTTGATCAAACCACGATATTTACGTGTGCAGAAATGCAGATCCACTGTTTACACTCCGATTGTGCTGACTAAGCATTGTTTCACTTTTGAGTTTTTAAAGGCTTGCTGAAAGCACCAAAGACGCATTTCTGATGCTCGAGTTACTTAGTTCAATAAATGTGGTTTTTGAGAGTCAAATGAGAATGAGTGAATCAGCTGATTCTATTTTGGTGTTTACACGTAAAAAATAAATCAATCAATCAAAATCTTAAGGCCTCTCAGGGTTTATTTGGTACCAACACACCATATAAAAGCTCTTTGGTCTCTGTGAGTGCAAGAAAAGACCAAATACAAACTTTTCTTACTTGGTTCTTTGTATTTCTACGGAAGAATCATGATCTGTTTGCAAGCAGGAGGTGTTTGTTACTTTAAAGTAATAGTTCTTCCAAAAATAAAAATTTGCTGAAAATGTATTTACCCTCAGGCCATCCAAGATGTAGATGAGTTTGTTTCTTCATCAAAACAGATTTGGAGAAATTTTGCATTACATCACTTGCTCACCAATGGATCCTCTGCAGTGAATGGGTGCCGCCAGAATGAGAGTCCAAACAGCTGATAAAAACATTACAGTAATCCACACAACTCCAGTCAAGCAATTAACGTCTTGTGAAGAAACTAATTTGTAAGAAACAAATCCATCTTTACAATGTTTTTAACTTCAAAACATAAAATATGAGTCTTCTACTATATTGCCTCCGCCAATGAAATAGTTATCTCGTCTGAATCAGGAGAGAAATCTGCACAAATCAATCAACATTGAAAACAGTTCTAAACGAATATGTTTTGATGTGAGAGGACAACAGGGCATGGACTTTTTTACTGGAGGAAGTGTTATTATGAATCATGTACTTGTATTTTAGCCAGAAGCAATGGTTTGATGGTTTAATTGGTTTAAAAACATCTTAATGATGGATTTGTTTCTTACAAACACACAGAATTTCACCTTACAAGACAATAATTGATGGACTGGAGTGGTGTGGATTATTGTGATGTTTTTATCAGCTGTTTGGAGTCTCATTCTGACGGCACCCATTCACTACAGAGGATCCATTGCTGAACAAAGCATGTAATGCAAAATTTCTGTAAATCTGTTCTGATGAAGAAACAAACTCATCTACTCATCTTGTACAGCCTGAGGGTGAGTACATTTTTAACAAATGTTCATTTTTGGGTGAACTATTCCTTTAACTAGCTAACTCGGGATGATTTCTTAGTCATTCACACAAACAAAATGAGCAAAACTCTAACATCAACCAGCCTTGATGATTGACATTGATGATTATGCTAATAAATGGATTTAGTTGAAGCAACAGAATGTGGCATCTGTTTCTGAAGTGTTTTTAAAGACTTCCGCTCCGTTCTGTTGCTTCAATCCCAGTGTACCTCACCTAAAACTTGCTTCCTTTTTGCCAGACAGCTTTTTAATTGCACGTCTCAGAAGCAGGTATTTGAATCCTGAACTGCACTTGTGGCAGGTTGAGCCCTCGGATGTGATTCTGATGATGAACTGTCTTTAACTGAAAAATGAGTGTTTACTATTGTCACTTTGCATTATTGACACTATTTTCCTAATTAATGCTGTTCAGTTGCTTTGACACAATCTGTATTGTTAAAAGCGCTATATAAATAAAGGTGACTTGACTTGACTTGACTTGATTCTGCCGGGATCATGAACCTGGAGATGCAATCTGTTTTACAATATAAGGCCTGGTTGCTTGTACATTGGGGCCCAAAAGCCTGATTCTTCCAGCCAAAATGCTTCTGTGTTGCATTTATGATTAGTAACCTTGAAATAGAGCACAATCTGAAATGTTTCTTAAATCTTCATTGTTTTATCATATTCTTGTCTTCTTCTTTTTTTTTTACATTTACATGAAGAAAAATTAATATTTTCCATGTGGTTTAGACTTTTTGACTCAACATTGACTCAACAGTAACATTTCAGTGTTGTGAATCTGTTTTCCTCTTGAAATTTAAACATTTTCTGTTGAGCAAATGTGGCTCATTGCAGTGGAATATTTTATTTGTATTTTTCCTGATTGTTATTATGGTGGTGTTTTATGAAGCAGCTCTTACGTTTTCACCAGGATCCTAAAGGGTTTCTGGTATCTCCTCAACATGATCCTCTAAAACCGTGTCTTGTTCACCTGAGTCCTGTAGCTGTATTATGAGGGGACACTGCTGGATGCAGACCTGTTTGTAATAAGGAAGCGTTTGTTTCCAGAGACAGGCTCTTTAAGAGTGTGAATGCTTTACGTGGATGCTATTAACTTAGCATCCACGTAAGTCGTGGAGAAGTCGTGGCCTAATGGTTAGAGAGTCGGACTCATAACCCAAAGGCTGTGGGTTCGAGTCTCGTACTGTACATGATTTTTGAATGTACAGCGCTCTCTCCCACCTTCAATACCACGACTGAGGTGCCCTTGAGCAAGGCACCGAACCCCCAAATGCTCCCCGGGCGCCGCAGCATAAATGGCTGCCCACTGCTCCGGGTGTGTGTTCACGGTTTGTGTGTGTTCACTGCTGTGTGTGTGCACTTTGGATGGGTAAATGCAGAGCACTAATTCCAAGTATGGGTCACCATACTTGGCCACATGTCACTTCACTTTTTAACTTTTAATGACCTCCATTTCCCCCAAAGTGAGGCTTGTTAAAGCCCACAAATATTAGTGTGCTTGAGACAAAATCAGAAAACTCAGAATATGATTCCTGGTGCGTTATACATTTAATGCATTCAATTCTTATTCTTTTTACTCATTCTTTTTCTTAGAATTTATCCTTTAAAAAAATCTATTTATTTATTTAATACATTATTTATATAGATGTGTGTGTGTTAATTATTTAATATATTGATTTATTTATACATGTATTATGTTATATATTTTATATCTAGATAGATATGCTTTAACATATTTTATATTAATTATATTATGTATATATCATATAATTATATAATTATTATTTTTTTATTATATTACATATAATTAATAATATTTTAATTAATTTTTTATTTTTATAAATAGATAATTTTTATGTATTTAATATATTTTACTTAATGAAATTAGTTGTTATTTTTATTTATAATTTATTTTCATATTAGTATATCTTTGCAGGATCACAATATATTTACAACACTTTAATTTCCAGACCACTTTAGAGATGCTAGAAATTGGATTTTATATATATATCCCAAAATACCCAAAATCCAACACCTTTATATATATATATATATATATATATATATGTGTGTGACCCTGGACCACAAAACCAGTCATAAGTGTACTTTTTTTTTTTATTGAGATTTATACATCATCTGAAAGCTGAATATTAATTTCCATTAATGTATGGTTTGTTAGGATAGGACAATATTTGGCCGAGATACAAGTATTTGAAATCTAGAAACTGAGGGTGCAAAAAAATCTAAATATTGAGAAAATCGCCTTTGAAGTTGTCCAAATGAAGTCCTTAGCAATGCATATTACTAATCAAAAATCGAAATTTACGAAATATCTTCATGGAACATGATCTTTACTTAATATCCTAGTGATTTTTGGCATAAAAGAAAAATCGATAATTTTGACCCATGCAATGTATTTTTGGCTATTGCTACAAATATACCTGTGCTATATGACTGGTCACATATATATATATATATATATATATATATATATAAGGTGTTGGATTTTGGGTGTGATGCTCTCAGTTCAGATGCCAGTCGCCATCCAGACCTGCATTAGTCAAACTTTTCCGTGTGAGCTGTTTCTACATGAAATCATTCATCACCACAAACCAATTCAAGTCTTTCCTCTAAAACTGACCCGGATTGCTGGTTCTTTCTGAATGTTTTACAGATTGTACAGTATTGATCTGACAAACCAGAAATATGTGAAAAAGATCACCAGAGAGTCATTGAGTTCAAGAACCACTTGCATCAAAATATGGTTATTTGCTTAAAGAACCTTTATTTTGAAGTTTACATTCATCTAGTCAGTTTAATTAGATGTTATATAATTCAACTAACTTTCTCTAATGTGTGTTTAATTCCAGCCGTGTTGTCCATGTGTTTTCTGGTACTCCACCGGACAAGCTTTGCTTAAAAGGCTACATGATCCCCGGCACATCCTGAAATTAACAGGCTTACGGGACCATAAATCTCATTTATTTTTTCCTGTGACCTGATTTCTTCTAGCGCTTTGAAAAGCTCTCCGTATAGCCCTTAGAGACACGATCCTGTGGGAATTACTGCAGTTTAACCTTTCTTTTCTTGTTTTAATGCTGAGGATGCATTTCTGACATGCTAACTTTGTCACAATGTAGTAACCAAAATCATTTTGTCTTCATATTATCAGCCTAACTTACTGTAGTTCTGACTTCAGAGCATTTATGTCACATATTTCCAGCAGGATGTACATCAGTGTCAGATTCACCTTGAAAGTGACCTTTTATGTGATGCTGAAAACACATGGCATGTGCCTGATTATAAAGGAGCTTTTTTTGACAGAAGCAGGGTGAACTGTGCAGCGTTTAGTCTTGACCCCGTTTTAAGGAGCCTGTGGTGGGATGGGGTTTGACTGGGTCACTGTAATCAGGCAGCAGTCAGACTTTGCTCCAGTGTCATGACTTATACTAGCTCCTGCTATGTATTTAACCTTTACCTTCTGCTGACGGTTGTTCCTTCACTTTGTAATTTTAGAGAGAAGCCGACCGAAGAGACCAAAGCCGAGACGAGCAAAACGTCAAGCATCAAACCCAAACCAGCAAGCGCTGCGGCGAACCTTGATCCGGACGACCTGTTCGATGATATATGACCCTCTTTGGGGCCTAATGAGCACCGTTTGTGATAAGCATGACTTTTGTACTGTGAAGAGACCAAAGCCGAGACGAGCAAAACGTCAAGCATCAAACCCAAACCAGCAAGCGCTGCGGCGAACCTTGATCCGGAAGACCTGTTCGATGATATATGACCCTCTTTGGGGCCTAATGAGCACCGTTTGTGATAAGCATGACTTTTGTACTGTTTTTAAACTGTAGGAGTAATAAAATTGTATGTTTTAAAAGTATTTTTATAGTAAAGATTAATTGGCTCTATACTAATAAACAATAAAAGTTTTTTAAAAAGAACACTACTTTTTAATGGCAAGTGAAGCAAAATTATGAACAAGTCCATTTTAACTCTGTAAGGTGTGAATAAATATAATAAATGTGAATAAAGATGTGATTTTCTCATTCCCTAAGTAGTGATATTTCAAAATGGATTTTAATCCCAAACTGTTTTTGCATTTTTTTTTTTCTTTCTATCTATCTATCTATCTATCTATCTATAAACTGACTTCAAACAATGTTTTGCAATACTGCTTTCATATTCTCATTGAATTTACAGTTTGATGTAGGCCTACTATCCACTTAAACAATACGTGATCAAGTTTCAGGACAGTTTATCTGACTTTTATGTACTATTTATGTAAACGCTGGTAACTTTACTTTTGCAAATGCAGCATTGATGAACACATTAAAAAAATCTTACCCACAAACTTTTAAACAGCAGGGTATGAATTTCAACCCTATACCTTGATTTTGATTTGTAATCTCACACACACTGCAATAGCCAAATCAAATCAATGGTGCAGGTGTTTTCTAGAGGAGGTAACGGTGCTGTCTCTCCCCCGTGTGGAAAGCTCAGGCAAGCTCTTATAAGTGGAGTTGGGCAGTTCACATCAGTTCACAAGAGTAATTTGGTCGCTTTCACACCCCTTAATAACCCAGTAACCCCATCAGCACCTTCTCTGCCTGATTATCAGTGCTCTGTCAGACCGCGCGCGCAGTGAGATACAGATGCGCTTTTACGCACGCGTAATACAGAGAGCTGCTTGATGGTCAGGACTGCGAATGTTCAGTGCATATCTAAGCTGTAAAATGAATACTCGTTTCATTTGCAAAGTTGAATCGAAGACTGTCTCTTATTTGAGCTCCCACGGGCGCGTGCAGTTTGGATTTTGCGCGAAAATGTTCCAAGATTGCGCAATGCATTCATAATAAAGTTAGTCGGAGAAACAACTAACTCATTTGTCTTTAATTACTTATAACCCAACCTACATGTTCAAGCTAACTGTTCAGTGATTCAAGGTACAGTTTGCACCAGCTCGAAGAGCGCAGAACATCTCCGTTCCTCTTCAGCAGGATGCATCAGATTCTTTTTTGGGTGGGCACTTTCTGCCCCTCCTCTGGAAACTGACGAAATTATGGGTGGACATGGAATTTGAACTTGCTGCCGGCTCATGTCTCCAGTCTTTCCGTGGGCACCAGGGAAAGAAACAGCACTGAAGTCTGCTGCTCACTATTGGAGCATCAGAGATATTTGCACTTTTTTTGTGAAGGGTTGCATTTGGAGAATCAGGAATAGCCAAGACTGCCTACAGGAAAAAGTAAGTTCTATTCTATTCTATTAAAAACAATTATGTCCTAATTGATAAGTTTATGAATATTACTATTATTTCACATTAACAAGTCATTTGCTGTGGTTAATGTCCATTGCACTTTAATTTGACCATGTTCTGCTCGCCGTCTTTTGATATTAGAGCAGATTTCTCTCAGTGCATCTCTGTTTCTCATTTGATTGTGTTGTCAGAGCTTGCCTGTCGCCCTGAAGCTGTGTTTGCGTTTGGCATCTTCTCAGTGGAGATCCACTTATCATTATCTCATCACTATCATTGTAACACCAGCTCTGCTTTAATGCTGATAACTGAGAATGTGAGCTTTGGATTCATTTCAGAAAAGCTTTTCGTTTGGTCTGGTGTGGTTGATCGGTCTTCATTAGCGCGCGCACTCGTGCTGATTGTTGCGTGAAGGTGCTTTATATATCGCTCTCTAGTGTTTGATAGTGTGTACTATATAGGGCGTGTGTGACTGTCACCAAAGCTGTCATAAAATGATCTTTGTGTTTCCGAGGAATGAGTAAAGTAGGACTGTCCAGTATATTAAGATGGAACGTATACATCCTTTGTAACCGCTAATTATGAATGAAGCTTTCATAAACACGTTCTGTATCTGATGGCAAAGCCATATATTGAATTGATAAAGGGAGACAGGAGAGCAAACAGACAGTGGGTGTCTAAAGACCCCAGTTGGACCTGGAACAAAGACATAGACGGACATTAAACACAGGCAGTTTGACAACCAACCCACATTTAGGAGTAAACTGTAGCTGCAAACGCCAAACGAACTAAACTCATGACTACCTTTTACCAAATGAAAAGCTTTTATGTATTTATTTACAGAACTGAGATGTTATTGGACGTTAAGCACATCCTCTGGTTGGTCTGTGCCTGCAGCGCTGCTGTAACCAAAGATGGTGAGGTTTTTTTTATTCTTTATTCTCATTAAAATGATAAACTTCTGTCCAAACCTTTAAAACTAGGTAAACGCTATAGGGATGCAGTGATGTTAATATATCCAGTTATCATTTTCATTTGATGGACGATATCGATCAGTGGAAGATATTCAAATGATCGCGATAAACATTTGCATGTAATGGCCGATAACAGTTAAATGGCAGATATTCCAATTTGATTCTATTTTTCATTTAAATGATAAAAGTGAGTTTAGGCATCACAGCATTATCTATGATATGAAAAATATTCATATTATTGACATTTATGCATTTAATGCTTTTATCCAAAGCAGAGGAACAAATATGCCAACCATTTGTCAAAGAATCAACACTCTAAAAACTGCTGGGTTGTTTCAACCCAACTTTGGGTCAAATATAGATTAACCCAACTTTTGGGTTAAAAATGTAATGTAAACATTTAACCCAACGGTTGGGTTAGTCCATATTTGACCCAAAGTTGGGTTGAAACAACCCAGCATTTTTTAGAGTGAACAATTGATTAACTATATAAATATAGTGTATGGAGTACTAAAAATATTCATAAAATCAATGTTATTTATTATAATAGTTGTAAATATTATAATAAATATTATAATTAAATATGTTCTAATATTAGCCTAAATATTTTTTTTTAATTTGTTAAAGCTTAGATTAATTGGTGTTATTAAAGTATTAGTGTTTTTAGTGTTACATGATGACAAAAGTAACTGAACTTAAAATGAGGAGAAATGAGTGTGTACATTATGTAAAATCAACTAATACAATGATATATTTAAAAAAATATATATCGGTCAGTAACCGATATGAAATGCATCCCTTGTAATCATTGTAAACCAATAGCAATCGCTCAGCACTTCCTGTGTTGTGTGCTAAACGACTACTTCCCGTCTGCTACAGTGTTATTTTAGTTTCACTGATGTACTATTGGTTTTTGTTAACATTTTGAATTATAATTCGAATATCAAAATATTAAAATATTTTTAATTTTAGTTAACATTTTAGAAACGTTTTATATCGTTTTAAGGTTAGTTTATAGTTATTTTTATACTTAACCTTTTTTATTTAAGATAGATGCCATTTATTATTTTTGTTTAGTTAGTAATATTCTAAGTTTAATTTTTTTAGTTTCATGTAATGTTTTTTTTTTAATATATATATATATATATAGTTTTAGTTAATGATAATAGCCCTGGTCTGCTATAAGTGACTAATACTGTATGAGAGATGAACTGCAATGTTTTTGGTTTATATAACTGTTATGTTTCTTTTAATATCGTAATTAAGCAGTATGGTTAAAATATTCAGTCTCAATGGAAGCAGAACACTTGAGTGTTGTTTCAAAGCTTCCAGCAGATGATATTCTGACGTTCCTCTCCTCCATCTGCTTCTTGCTTGCAGACTCTGCTCGCAGGATGAGGGTGGAGAGGAGTTCTCCAGTGAGGGGCTCGCTGGCAGAGCAGGTGGTCCTGCCCTGCTATTTCTCCATCCTCCCGGCTCCTACCGGCAGCTCCAGCACCTCCACCACTGCAGCCACGGCCACGGCCTCCAGCGCCCACCCGGACCAGCTCCGCATCAAGTGGACTAAACTCGTGGGCGATGAGGAAATGATAGTGATTGTGACCCAGAATGGGTTCCTCAAGATCGGGCCGGAGTTTAAAGGCAGGGTATCGATTCCCAGCCACTTTGAAGATGTGGGCGACGCGTCTCTGACCATAGAGAGGCTCAGGGCCAGTGATGCGGGCGCTTACCGCTGCGAGGTCATGCACGGCATCGAAGACACCCAAGAGTCCGTCTCCCTGAAAGTCAGCGGTCAGTCATTCTCTATGCAAATTATGAAAGGAATACATGTTCCTGGTTGAACTGTAATCATATGAACCTCCAATTGCCAGTCAGTTTTGTTACAGAACAACTAATTTTCAGGAGTTTCTTCTGGAGCTAAAAATTGTTTAAAAATGCTATTTATAAAAAATTATTATATTATTTATTAAATATATAAATACTGTGTACTGAGTATTAAAAATATCATAATTAATATATAATATTAAAATGTTTAAAATTATTATAATGAGTAATTTATTAATATGAAATATTAATTTTGAGATTTGCTAAAGATTAGATTTATTTTATATATTTATATAATTACGGTATATTTTTAGATTTATAGATGTTATTCAATTATTAGTATTTAATAAAAAATTAAACAATAAAGGTAATCTAAATGTAAAAATAGGGGAAATTAGCATGTTAAATTAAATATTTAAATTATAATATTATAATTAAATATTCATTAATACTTATCACATATTATAATTAAATATTCCCTATTTTTTAATATTATTTCAATGTTTTATTTGTTAAGTGATCTCACTTTTTATGATCCAATTAAGTCTGGCCCTACATTTATCTCACATTTCATCTGGAAATATAATATATAGTTGTTTGTAATATATGGTCTTTTTAAATATTAGACTACAAAGG